GATCTCTCTCTCTCTGCATATTCATCTACCTCACTATAGCAATCTCTCTCTCTCTCTCTCTCTCTCTATATATATATATATATATATATATACACACACACACACCTATCTATCCATTTCTATCCATCTGTCTGTCTCTCTATCTATTCCCCAATATACATTTGTCTATTGCTTGATCCATCCATCTCTCTCTATCTATCTATCTAGATCTACCTCTGTTTATTTCTATCCATCTATTTCTATCTTTTATCCATATGTCCCTCTATCCATCTAGCTCTCCATATACATCTACTGCTCAATCCATCCATCAATCTCTCTGTCTAGATCTACCTCTCTATCTAGCTATCTCTCACCATCCATTTGTCCCTCTATCCATCTACCTACTGCTCGATCCATCCAAATCTCTCTAACTAGATCTACCTCTCTATCTACATATTTCTAGCTCTCTAGCCATTTCTCTCTCCAGCTACATCTTTCTTAATCTCTCTCACTCTATCCAATTCTATCCATCCATCTGTCTCTCCATCCATCTCTCTCTCTCTTTACCCATATGTCCCTCTATCCATCAATCTCTCTATCTAGCTCTCTCTCTCTCTCCATCCATTTGTCCCTCTAGCCCTCTACCTATTGCTCAGTCCATCCATATCTCTCTATCTAGCTCTATCCATCTACATTTCTATCCCTCTAGCCATTTCTCTCTCCATCTACATCTTTCTTAATCTCTCTCTATCTAGCACTCTCCTTCCATCTACTGCTGTGATTTATTTGCAGTTGATTATGCTATAGGTTATGTGATTAATGTCAGTATGAATTATTTTTACACTAGGCAGCTTGTATGGTACATACCTTCAGATGCTGTAAAGTGGTCAGATGGATCTTATAGTTAGTATCCCCTCTTATTCTTTTGTCACAAATCTGCAATAAATAAATAAATTCAAGACATCTCTATGTACAAAGTCAACACAGCAATACTGTTATTTTCAGGTTTTCTCCATGAGAAGCACACACTGATCCGGGTTGCCTATCAGTTAGCCACAAGCTAACCTCTGTATTTACCTGTATTCTACAATAAAAAAACTGCCAAGTTTTTATGTAATAAACCTCAGGTTGTTTTAGCTAACTGGCTAAATGTGAACACATGATTAAACCAGCTGAAGTTACCGTGCAGTCTATAAACGTGTTGGACTCTCCGTCGTCGTAAACCGTCAGCAGGTCGGCCATTGCTAATCCGCTTGCTCTGCTTCAGCTAGCTAAATATCTCCTGCACTGACAAAGCTAACAAAAAGCTAATCATTCAGTAATACAATACTTTAATGATATGTTATTAGTTAAATAAATTAATTTACTTTAGTACAATTAACTTACAATTATCAGGTTGAACTAGATATCGTTACAAGGATTTGTAAGGAACTAGCTGCAGTATAGCTCGCTACCTCGACGAGGCTAGTTGGCTAACTTCCGGAAGCGTATGCAAATTCACACAGGCTTTGTGCTGCGCTTATACATTTACTGCAACTGCATAAACCTAAAAACTACACTCTATATCTCCCAAACGCCTTTCTCTAAACTCCCCCGGTGTGCTTATGCACGTCTTTTCTGTTACTTCGACTCCTCTGCTATTATTCACTACAGAATAAAAGCCATGAGCAGACCGGAAGTGGGAGGTTTAAACAGTTGTGAACGCAGAACGTTGCAAAACGCCCACAACCTCTGAAAAATACCCATAATCCCAATTGATGTGAGTAATATCCAGCTGCACGGCTGCACACAGAAACGATCAATCTCAAACAGCTGTCTGAGTGATAGAGGGAGCAGGAGGCCATTTCAGATCCAGCCCAAGAATGTTTGAAATGGCACGACTGTATAGTTCTTACTGCACAACTACACACTATACACTACACTGTACACTATTTACTGCACCAGTATACACACTGTACACTACTTACTGCACCAGTATACACTATACACTACTTACTGCACAACTACACACTATACACTACACTGTACACTATTTACTGCACCAGTATACACACTGTACACTACTTACTGCACCAGTATACACTATACACTACTTACTGCACAACTACACACTATACACACTACTTACTGCACCAGTATACACTATACACTACTTACTGCACCAGTATACACACTATACACTACTTACTGCACCAGTATACACTATACACTACTTACTGCACCAGTATACACACTACTTACTGCACCAGTATACACAGTACTTACTGCACCAGTATACACACTGTACACTACTTACTGCACCAGTATATACTATACACTACTTACTGCACCAGTATACACACTATACACTACTTACTGCACCAGTATACACTATACACTACTTACTGCACCAGTATACACAGTACTTACTGCACCAGTATACACTATACACTACTTACTGCACCAGTATACACACCATACACTACTTACTACACCAGTATACACACTACTTACTGCACCAGTATACACACTACTTACTGCACCAGTATACACACTATACACTACTTACTGCACCAGTATACACACTATACACTACTTA